GGATACATCTCCAGGCAACCCTTTACTAGTATTGCATAAAAAGTACTACTTTGTACTCTTGTGAACCAGGGATGGAGACAGGGTGGAACCTCCCATACCGGGAAGAGGGGGGGGTACTTTGCTAGCAACAAAGTAGATACTTTAGTAACTTTACTGAAGTGGTACCTTTCCAAAACGGAGACGAGTTCCGCGGCGTAACCGAAGGGGGGGAAGGACAAGGAAAGGGAAAGTGACGTGACGATGACTGCGAGAAAAAGTTGCAACTTTCGCACTTGCACGAGACTAAACTAGTCCCGACTAGTCCGAACTGTTACGGCCCCCCCCGCAATCCTACTAGAAGGAAAAGGAAAGAAAGAAAAAAAAAGTATGTTACATCCGGGCGCTGGCTGTAACGCTCATTCCCCAACCGGGATCCATTGTTCAGCTAGCCATCGTCGTCGCTGTCTCTCTCCCTCCCCTCGTGCTGGCATGGCATGCAATTTCTCTCGGCTCTTCTCCGTTGCTTATGCCAATCGCAGCGAGAATGGAGACCACGCTGTCATGCACACTAGTCGCTATGCACGTTGGATCAGATCAACTGCATGTCGCTACGGAATGCCCGGTAGCCTTTGCCTAATCTTACTAACAACACAACAACAGTATACCGAATCCGGCTCGGGTGGCTCTGGTGCTTGTGCATCGCATCGTTGGCAAATTAGCAATTTACCCAAGGTGCAGACGAGATGAGCCTCCACTCATCGCTGGTCCTCGTCCTCGTCCGTGGTTCAACTGAAACAAAGCCATTATTATCGCTAGGGTTGAAATTCAATATGACTGGACATTATTAGTATTGACTTGTGTCTAACCAAGTGCCACTGTCGGGATCTACCGTTGATCAATCTCCCCAAACATAGCTATCTACTCGTCAATGACACCATGGTGGATATGGTAAGGTTCAAATGTTGTGCGGTTAACCCTCGTGGGCTACTTGCTTATTCGCCAGTTCGTCAAGCTGCTCAGCCTTACGCCACTCTCCAAGCCTCATCGACCCAGGGCCTGATCAAACTCAACGTGCATTTTTGGAACATGGCCTCGTATCGCGTCGACACCGTTGCGCGAAATACAGTACCACCGTTGCTATCAGAGCTTCGCTTTGCCGTCCGGTAGCTTCACTAGCGCTCCATCGCGCCTGACATCATAATCGCGGCCTTTCTTCCACCCCAGCCATGTTTTGAGTGTCTCTTCGCCCCCAGTGCCAGGTATCAGGCCACCCCCGGTCCAGCCTCCGTTGTCGGCCGGAATCGGGAACCCGGGAGTTTCCATTAGATGGACGACGGGCCGTTGCTCATAGCCACTTTCCTCGAGCTCATCTTGTTCCAACACAGGTGTGGCGCAGGCATCTGTCCCATCGAATACGGCCTCCCACTCCGCCCGAGTCTTTTCTTTGAACCGCTTAGCGAAGGCAGCCCGCAGCGCAGGCCAGTTGTCCTTGTTATCCCGCGGCGGAAGCTCTTCGGGGTTCAATTCGAGCCCCTTCAACAGAGCATCGTAAAACTGCGGCTCCAACGCACCCACTGCGAAATACTTTCCCTTGTCCTTGGTTTCGTATGTGTCGTAAAACGGGCTGCCTCCGTCCAGCGTATTCTGACCGCGAGGCGCATCCCAGAAGGGCGTTTGTCTGCCCAACCGTGGCATTGCAGCCAAATACGCAGAGCCGTCGACCATGTTTGCCTCGACGACCTGGCCGCGTCCGGTGTGCGTGCGCGAGATCAATGCCAACAGAATCCCCAAGAAGCATGTGGCACCTCCACCAGCAAAATCACCCAGGAGGTTGAGTGGTGGGTAAGGGCGTTTCCCCGACCGACCTATCATAGACAGTACTCCCGCCACAGCAATGTAGTTGATGTCGTGACCCGCCATATCCTTGTATTTGCCATCGCGACGGAAACCCGTCAAACGAGCCACAATCAATCCGGGGTTATGTTTCAGAAGCACCTCCGACGGTGACAAGCCCAGTCGCTCCAGGACGCCAGGACGATACGGATCAATCAGGACATCGGCGTCCTTGAGGGCGGAGAGGAGCACTCGATGGGAGTCGGGGTCTCGGAGGTCAATGGTAGCGGACGTTTTCCTGCGAGTCAACTGGTCGGCGCTCTTAGCTTTTGGTCGGTCGATTCGCAATACAGAGGCTCCATAGTCGGCAAGTAGTAGTCCGGTGAAGGGGCCTGTGTAGACGTCATGTCAGTATGCGGAGAGGCGTCTCCGAGGAAGGGGGTATGGCAGACGAACCGGGGGCTAGGCCAGCCAGCTCGACCACACGGAGTCCATCGAGAGGAGCGGGCATTTTGTATACCGAATTGAATAACTCAGATATGTGCTGACAAGAATAGCAGTGTTGAGACAGATTGTAGCACTGCCAGCAGCGCTATAGTTGATGCTTGGATTGCTGGGTGATCCAGACAGCGGCTTTGCTTCTCCGCAGCCGAGGTCCGGGGCACGTGCGGGGAACCTCACTACACTCCAATACAAGCTGGACTTGTGTAGCTTGTGCAACTAATATGACTCCATTGAGCGATTATTCGCTCAGTTTTTATACCCATGCTATAGAGATAATTTGAACGTATATGGTACCTTCAGTCTGGGGTGTGTGAGCGAGGCTTTGTCCCGTGCTTTTATTTTCTAGCTGTATATATCAATTAGGTCTGTCTTTTTTCCAACCACAGCTCAATCAATCATCGGAAGATAATCTCAGCCGAGGGTAATTATGGCAGAGTACTTCTTAATTGTCGAAGAGTCGGACTGTATCAATTACCAACACAGTAGGTGGGATTATAGAGATACACTGACCCGAATGCTCACCATAACCATGTGGATCTGCAAAATATGCTTGTTGTGCTTCGCTGCGTTGTATAGCGTATTGCTATCAGTTACTATCTGTATCATCCAGAGGAGAATATCAGCTGGGATGCTTTCCTTCTAAGATGGATTACCATTGAAAAGTAGTTCTTTAGTATCTCGATATGTTTCCAGCTCTCTACAACAAATACAATCCTATCAGATGCAACATAGAGCAATTCTGTAATCAACTCAAATTGAACAAAAATGCTTACAACCCAACAAATAGAACCACACTAATATGATGAAAGATCATCCAATCTACCAACTGTCCTCGCGGCCCTCATACTTGCCCTCATCATACGCATCCTCCATATTATCACCGAAGCGCTCCACAGATCCGACCTTCTCGCCAGCCCATCCGGCCACATCCTCGGGAATTTCCTCGACATCATCGACGGCGTTGTCCCATTTGCGCTCGATGCGATCAGGGATCTCTTCGACTTCACCGACCTATCACGATCATCAATATCAGTAAGAGCATAATAAAAAGTCAGAGGTACTGTTGAACTCACCTTCTCACCCGTCCATCTAGCCGCATCCTCAGGGAAGTCCTCCACATCTTCCTTGATATCCTCCTTGTCTTCCTCCCATTTATCATCTGAATCAATCACAATATTAGCCACATCCATCCACACCTCCTACCCATTAAGTACTTCGTAAAAAAGAAAGATAGAAGGGATATACTCACGAATCATCTCCCCCCCAACAACCGCCGCTCCACCAAGCAACACTCCGGCACCAACACCCAGCGCCATATTGCGTCGACTGTGGTCAGGGCGCTGTTGCTGCTGTTCACCATAGTATCCACCTTCCTGACGGGACTCGTAGCCACCACCATATCCTCCCTCCTGGCGGCCATAACCCTCTCCACCACCATAGCCACCTCCGTATCCGCCCTCCTGGCGTCCATAGCCCTCACCACCGCCGTAGCCACCACCATAGCCGCCGCTGCCACCGTATCCTCCTTCTTGACGACCGTAGGATTCTTGACGGCCATAGCCCTCACCACCTCCGTAGCCGCCACCGCCGTAGGACTCCTGACGACCGTAGGACTCTTGACGGCCGTAGGACTCTTGACGGCCGTAGGACTCGCCGCCGTAACCACCACCACCACTGCCGTAGGATTCCTGACGACCGTAAGATTCGCTCTGGTAGGATTGTTGCTGTTGTTGGGAAGAGGAGGAGCCGCCGCCGCCACCGAATTTCTTTTCGATGACTTCTTCGGCCATGTTCTTGAGGAAGTCCATTTTGGGTGGATTTTCTTTTGTGGATAGGGGAGGGGTAGTAGAGTAGAGTAGAGTAGAGGAAAGTAGAAGTGGGATGAGTAGTGTATGTAAAAGTAAGTAAAGTAAGTAGAAGAAGAGAAGAAATAAAAGTGGGAAAGAAAAGGCCAACAAAACTACTTATAGTCTTCTTAGTACTACTGTAATAATAAATAATCACAACCCCCAAAAATAAAGATAAAGTGGGGTCCGATCGATAGGAGATATACACACACACAAAGATAGATGATAGTTAGTTACTTAGTTAGTAGAGATAGTCTACTAAACTTACTTAATATGGCATGAATTGTGGCTATTCACTACTTAGGTGGGCAATTCAGGAGAATTGCCTACTTTGTACTAGAAAAGTAAGACACAAAAAGAGGGGCAAGGGTCCCTCTCATTGTTCGTTCTCCAATCCCGGCTGTTTCATTTTAGCAAATCCACCCAGTGCACCCACCCATAATAACTCTCACTTAGTCTACCAGTTCCATTTTCAGTTCCTGTTCAGGGGGGAGGGGGAAGGGAAGGGAAAGAGGGGCGGGCCAAGAAATGATTGATTGACTGGTTTGAGTATGTGACTGACTTGATCATCCCATGCTAATTTACCCCAGTGGTGGTAGTGGTGGCTATGCTCCCGGTGATCGATTGTGGCTTGGTCACTCACTCACTCACTCACTCCGTGCATCATTAATCATGGCGGTGTTTTGTTTTTTCTGATATGCATGGATTAATTTTAGTGCGGTATGGTATCATCGTATCTACTTATACAGTAAGTTGTATGTATTGTATTACTAGTTATGAATTGGAATACAAAACTACTCAACATCTTGCGATTAATACGCAGAGAAAACAATCCTCTTGCGCTGCTCATCACTTCCTTCATCCGGCTTAGTCGCCCCGGGGGGCCGAAGTTCTCCTTAGCCTATCGTTGTGCCATGCGGTGGTCGATGACCTTGGGGGGGCCAGGCCATGGCCACACACACCATCTTTCTCAAGGTCAGATGGGCATCAGGCATCAATCGACCGTGTCTAGACACAGTCACGACGACTTGTCTTCCACTCAAAAAAGCCTGAGAGAAAGTTTGAAACCACGGCTGAAACTTCAGGGTCTCGAGATCCATCGTACAACGCATCACTTCCCCCTCCATATCACGCCTTGGCACATCCGGATCGTCCCGTCTTGGCTGATCTTGGCTGCCTGGGGCATTACTGGGATTCCATATGTTTTGATTCCTTTGTGGATTTGAAAGAATGGCATTTTGTTTATGGCTAAGTAATATACTGGTCGTAAAGTGTACAGCTAGATCGCTGGGAGAATGAAAGTTAAATACATGACAGACAGTAAGGTGGTAGTATCATCCTGAGATTAAGCATTACATCCCAAGCACTTGGTCCAAGTGGCTTGTGGGTTCTCATGGCGAAAGTATTTCGTAAGCTAGGAAGCACGTCGTCTAGATGGCTGCCAAGAGGAACAGCGCAAACGCTGACACTGCACCTGCACCGTGTTGCAGTTGTGACACCCGTGAAGCCGCGCCCGTGAATACGGGCGACACGCCGGCGGCCGTGCCGCTGGGAGCCACAGGCACTCGGGATCCGCTCTGGGATGGCTGGATATGGAAGGTCGATGAGGCACGGACGCTGCCGGTTCCAAGAATTACCGGCTGGCTGGTTGACGATTGGCTCGGGGCCACAATGACCGTCGCAGTCGTGGTGGGGGCTGTTGACGCGGGAGCTGTAGGGGCTGTAGGGGCACTTTGGCCGGGCAAGCTCTCTCCGGTAGACTGACTACCAGAAGGATTGGCAGTCAACGCATCAACACCTGTGGCAGCGCTGACGGGAACCGTGACCGTGACCGTGGTAGGTGTAGGACCACAGTCGGTGCAGACACTGACCGTGGTGGTCCAGTCTTCAGGAGAGTTCGGTGCGCTGGTCGAGGATGCCAGCCCTGACGGCCGATTGGTGGCCGGCAAAGTAAGAGTGACAGTAGTCGGTGTGGGAGCGCAGTGAGTGCATACGGTCACAGTCGTCGTCCAGCCCTCAGGGACGCTAGGACTAGTGATCTGCGCTGGAGCGCCGGGAGGGTTGGTGACGGTGGCTGTGGCAGACGCCGTTGCAGGACAGTAAGTAGTGGTATAAGTCGTGGTGATCGTGGTGAACCCTTCGGGGCAGATGTCAATGTAAGAAGTCACAATGACCGTGGTAGTGATGGTGGGCTCCGAGCCGCTGGACGTGACCGAAGGTACCGCCGGGGCAGATGTGATGTTGGAAGTAATCGGAGCGAGTCCACTACCGTTGCCGGTTGGTACACCAGTTGGAACGGTAGTTGCGCCGTCTGTTTGTCTTGAAACGCTGCCCAAGGGAGTCGAGTACGACGAGGAAAAGGTGCTGGCGTGATCAGTAGACTTTGTGCTGTCCTGAGCACCCGAGCCATTTGCAGCGGCACCGGAGGTTGAGGTGCTGGCTGCTCCCGAGCTGCCCGAAGAAACGGAAGTTGTTTTCGCTCCAGTCTGGCCTGATGCTGAGCTAGCAGACTCGGTGCTCGACGTTACTTCACTACCAGACGAGGACGAGCTGTCAGAAGGCACCGATGGGATGGTGGTAACAACGGAGCTGGTGGAGCTTGACGCATGAGGGGCGCCGGATGAGGTCACCGATGTAACCACCGATCCCGAGGAGGTAGACTCCACAGAAGAAGCAGAAGTGCGTGTTGAAGCATCTGTGCTCGACGTGTTGATGGAGCTTGACACGGTGGGACTGCCCGGTCCGCTTGACGAGGAAGTAGCAGACACGATTGTTGTTCCCGAAACAGATGCGATGGGCGTACCAGAGGGAACAACTGAAAAGCTTGACCTGGTCGACACTCCAGGGACCACACTGGACGAGGAACCCACGCTGGATCCTACAGCAGAACTTGAAGAGACCGGCTCGGCAGAGCTGACAGGTGAGCTTGACAGTAACGGTGTGCTAGACGGATGTGACAGGGTAGATGATGGAACCCCGGTCCCAGCGGGAGTGCTGGAAGAGGGCAATGACCCAGAAGAACTGGTGAAAGTCGCAATGATCGTGGAGGATGGCTTTGAAATAACAGGAACACTGGATGACTTTCCTGGAGCAACAGATGAAGTTGAACGGACAGGCGTGCTTGAAGGAGGGAGGGAAATGGCTGAGCTGCTTGGCACCACAGGGTTGCTGGAGGTGTGAATGCTCGACAGGGCCGGTGAGCTGGAATGAAGCAGAGTGCTCGACCTTACAATGGAGCTCGAAGGAATGGGAGAGCTCGATGCAATGGCAGAACTGGCAGCCGAGCTTGGAATGATGGGGGTCCTTGATGCAGACGGGCTGCTTGACATGGCAGGAGTGCTCGATATCACAGGAGAACTCGAGACAGCAGGGCTGCTTGATACCGCAGGGGTGCTTGACACAACAGGGGAGCTGGATGCAATAGCAGAGCTAGAGACAACGGGAGTGCTGGACGCCACAGGGGTGCTGACCGCCGGAGTACTGGAAACAATGGCAGGGCTAGATGCTGCTGGCTTGCTAGACACAATAGCAGAGCTGGACGCAATAGCAGAGCTGGACGCAATAGCGGAGCTGGACACAATAGCGGATCCAGATGCAGTAGCAGAGCTAGAGACAGCGGGAGCGCTGGATGCCACAGGGGTGCTGACCGCCGGGGTGCTGGAAATGATAGCTGGGCTAGATGCCGCCGGTTTGCTTGACACAATAGGAGAGCTGGAGGCAACAACAGAGCTGGAGGCCACGGGAGTGTTAGATGTAACAGCAGAGCTGGAGGGAACAGCAGGGCTAGAGGCAACCGGGGAGCTGGGGACAATCGGTGAGCTGGAAGCACCAGCGGCACTGGTGGTCACGGGCGCGCTGCTTGCCACTGGAGTGCTGGAGGCAATAGCAGTGCTGGATGGAACTGAAGAGCTGGACGCCACAGGGCTTGATGCGATAGGGCTACTTGACGCAGAGACGCTGCTTGACACCACAGGAGTACTTGAAGACTCGGTTGTACTCGGAACCGCGGGAGTAGAAACAGCAGAGCTTGACGGAACTGGACTGCTTGACGGAGTCGAGGTGAATGAAGCAGGAGCGCTTGATGAAACAGGGGTACTCGACACCGCAGGTGTGCTTGAGGCGATAGCACTGCTAGACGAAGGGCTGGGAACCGGTGGCGAAGGATCAACTGCAACCAGGATGTCTTTGATTAAGTCGGCAAATGTGAGCCCATTGAACGTATTCTCATCCGAAGCCGTTGCTTCCCAAAGCATGATACCTCCAAACGTCTCCGGGTAGAGGTTCATATACACATTCACCAGAGGATAGACTTCCTCCGGGGTCAGGTAGTACCCAGTTCCTGCTGCAGCGGGACCGGCAGGCAATCCCACATAGAGCTTTGCGTCCGGGTTGGCTCCACGCTTGATGACATCCACCCAGTCGTCAAAGTTGAAGCCGGTGCTGACACCATTGATAGAGTCACTAGCGGCACAGCCAGCAGTGTTATAGAATTGCACCCAAACGAAGTCAAAGGGGGATTGGGCAATCGCATCACTGAGTTGAGGGTCGGGTATCGGGCATTGGGGGGCACCAGAGATGTAAAAGGTACGCTCGGGGACCAAGGCAAAAAGCTCTCTGAACCGATTGACCATAGTCGCATATCCTGCTCACGATTAGCGGTGGTGCAGATTAATAACAAGAATTTACGGGCAGAGAGACATACCAAAACCGCCGTTGTGCTCGATGTCGAAATCGAACCCATCGACAACAACGTCACCAAAAGGACGAGGGCCATCATTCGACACCCATTCCTCCGTCTGCGGACCGAAGGCACCCCAGAGGAAATCGGCGAATTGGACAGCAGAGGCATCTGACAAAATCTGCTGGTTATCGGGAGAGGCACCACCGAGGGACAGGAAAACCTTCTTTCCTGCTTCCTGGCAGATGGGAATATCTTCTGCAATTTGGTGACAACCAGAAAGAAGCTCCGTTGAGACGCCGTCAATTTCATATGTTAGGCCATCACACTGATTGCCGAAGTTACTACCCGGCCACCCGGCAGGTCCCTGGTCCGGGAAAGTATTGATGAAGCCAAGGTTGATAATATCCAACGAAGTTTCCTGGCAGAAGTGGCTCAATCTTTGTTGACCATATCCTTGACCCTGGAGACAGATAAGTACAAGTCAGTATTATTAAGTGGGCGATCGAGTGGTCGGAACATACGTAGTAGACGGCAACGTTGGACTTTGCCTGGGCATCGAAAGCAGACACAAAAGGAGTGAGACCGGCTACCGCCGCAGCAATGGTAAGAGGCTTGAACACCATATCGAAGGAGTGGCAACTGGCAGGCGTAAGGAAGCCGCAAGCCAGTAAGGAGGCCTTGGTGGTTCAACGAAAGGACGCAGACAAATGTCTGCTACTAAGGAGTGTCTCCGCAAATGAACGTCGAAGAATGAGGCACTGGTGAGAGAACCAGTGGGCAAGGAGGGTATATAACATTATAGGATATAGGCGTTTTGGGGGGTCAGCGAACCCCATTGCATCTTCCTAGTCATTAGCTCCAATATCCCAAATACAAAGTTCATCCAACGAGCACAACCGAAATTATCATGCGGATGATATGGCTTGGCAAGTGCAACCGGACAATCAGGCGATGGAGAAAGTACTCCATTTTTGTGCTAGCAGCAGGGAATATTGAAGCTAACGAGGCGCTTGATACGGGAGCACCAGGGGTCACCGGCCAGAAGAGGACGTGACTGGATCCGGAGGATGGAAGATTTGAGGGCCGACATTACGCTCAAGGCAACAGCAGGCATCCGAGCACCCTGATTGAGTAAATGCCTGGTGTAGAGCCGCATCAGGGTCCGACTATTATGGTTAGTCTCGGTCGAAATGGACAACAAGAGGCAAAAGCGATATACACTACTCACAACGTCTAGGCTCTGGCGGTGCTTGAATTATAGCCTAAGTGGAGAAAGAAAAAGTAGTGCTTCATAGTCGAATGTAGCCTCGATAAAAGGTGGATATGAAATGAGCAGAGATCAATTTTCTGGACAGATAGAGGCCGGAAGATGAGAGATGGATGGAGATAGCGAGGTGGGAATGGATGGCTTCCATGGACCTGGAGGCCTGCCTGGAGGGGAGCTAGTCTAGTCCTGGACCCTGCGGTGGGCGCGATCCTGGTATTGTGGTGACAATACCGTGTCCGTGTTATGTTTTATCCCCAGTTAGGGTTAGTGTCCATAAGGAAGTAGCTTGATCGGGACTAGCTAGGGGTCCCTGGTGGAACACTGGTGGTCAGGAACACCAATCATAGAGTCGGGATATAGAGCCTGACAGGCCACTGGTCAGGCTGGGAAACGTCCGGGCTAAACTTTGGGCTCCAATGTCTTACCTTCGCCTCTCGCCTTCTGATTGTTGTGATGGCGAGGAATGAAAAGTCAAATCATTAGACCGGACCCACGGAACGGCTCTTCTCCGTTGCTTAAGGCTCTCGGAGTTGACCGGATCAACCGATCGACAATCAGGAACTATTACTGTACAGAGTTGTTGTTTTATGTTATGGGCGGATGTTCAATTCAGAAGCAGAAATAGTTGAGCCCGAATGAAAAATGAGAAATCTGACATGACAGTGTTCTGAAGGAACGCCACCGACGAATATCCTCCTTAGCCGACAGTCCATTGGTCTTTTCTTCTCCTGGTCCAAATAATCACACCTTGACTAGATACTTTCTTAGTCGACCCATCCACCAGCCAGATACCCCACTAGGCCTCAAGCGGACTCCGGCCGACCACGGACCTTCCTGGCTACATGGGCCAGTGTACCTGTTCGTACAGAGGGGAACCACTGGGGGTAATGGATTGGTGATTAGTAGCTTCCACTATAACCAGGCGTTAAGCGACGTCGGAGTCATGCATCGGAAAACCGGAAATTGCACCTTTGATACTGCTCCTCTGAAGGGGTTAGCGTGCTGCAATCTGGCGAGAAGTGGAAATGAACGGTCACAGAGCCTTATGGCCAGGGCCGTCGGATGCCCCAGCAATTCCCCGTTGTCTCTCAAAATCCATTGGTCGGTGGATACCACACCTATAAGGAACATAGACACAGAGTACGGTGTGAGGCATTTATCCGTACCAAAAGTCTCACAGGGCTGGGATTGCTACTTTCAATCCGGTTGTGTCTCTCCACGTCTATGATCTCGTTCTCTCAGAGAGGCTTGTTTGTAAGACAGGCCAAGCATATGATGTTTTCCTGGCTGTGACGATACTCGCGTACTACACCGGGGAACAGTATGAAACCCCCGAGGATGACAAAACTAAAAGCTTGCAGGAATCTTTGTGCAATGGCATCGCCCTAGCTTGGCCAGAGACACAGTGGCATGTCATAATAATCCGTGTTGCACCGACAATCAACTCCTGCTGGGGAAGAAGTGAAAGCCATATACGAACTAGCTACGGTTAGAGGCTGCGCCAACCTGCATCCTGACAGAGGAGAACCAAGCACACAGAAGGAGGAACAGGTATACAGCTACAATGCTGAAGCTGGGATGGCAATCTACCCAAGAAGGGGTCGACAATCCATGTGCTGCAGAGTAGCTAGGTTACACCTGCAGCAAAGGGTGCCACGTTACACGCCGTTAGCTACATGTGTCACAAAGGGACAGCGTGGGACAGAAGCTCCAGTAAATTTCCGTGACCTTTGGTTCATAATCCGATACGCATTCCAATGGACCTGGTCGAGGATAGCTCACTGCGCTATACTTACCCTAAGATATAGTGGCTACTAGTACGTTCCTGCCACCCTCCTTATGAAATGGCCAAGAGTGAGTTCGACATGTGGACAGTCATAGCATATGAGCATACTGATTAGTTCTATTTCAGGGTACCCCTGTTGCTTCTCCCTAAGACTTCGTCCAAAATACCTCCGTCAGTAGATCGCACATCAAAGTAATAGACCGTTTCCCCTCCTTCAACACAGCGTCCATAGCCAAGAATGGATGAGGCATGCCCTTCATAACCTGCAAATCCACCTGAACGCCAGCCTGCTTCAACCTTTCGGAATACTGTTCTCCCTCCGTTCGCAGCACATCCAGCTCACCCACCATGACTAAAGCCCGGGGCAGGGCAGACCAATCGCCCGTCCAGAACAAGGGGCTCGCCTCAGGGTTATCCCAATCCTTTTGATTCGGCAGATAGTGGTTCCGATACCAGAGCATCTTTGCTGCGGGAAGGGCCGGTGTATGCTCGTACTCCCTATAGGCACGGTTCGTTTCCACGCTGGCCGTGTTATCCGTCACCGGTACGGAGAGCAGCTGTGCCTTGAAGTGAACAGGAGGCGACAGTGTCAGGGCTTTCTGGGTGATTATGCAGGCCAGGTTTCCACCCGCTGATGATCCACCGGTCGCGATCTTGCTGATATCGATGGGAAGTTGAGAGGGTCCTTGGGAAGTCAACCAGAGGAGAGCCTCCCAGCAGTCGTGGACGGCAGCGGGCCAGGGATGCTCAGGTGCGAGGCTTTCGAAGAATATCTTGTCAGTTCATTCCATCCAGCTCAATTGCATGCAGAGACTCTCGAAATAGATACATACCGGTAATCCACCGTCAATACAACACAGCGACCCCTCACACAGAGATTCGAGCAGACTGGATTCTCCGTGTCAATGTTTCCCAGCACCCATCCACCGCCATGGAAATACAGCATGACCGGCCATCCGGATGCCGGCGCAGTGCCTTCGGGCACAAACACTCGCACAGGGACTTCTGGGCCCTCTGTGACGCGACGTGGAAGACGAAGGTCAATGGTCTGCCCAACAGGTAGAACGGGACCCCCGCCTGGGATCAGGACGCCGCTCGATCGCGAGGCCGCAACAGGCTGCAAATGGACCTGCTGCTGTTTCATCACATACTGGTTGTAGAATGCGACATATTCGGGATCGAGTTTGTCCTGCACCGAGGGGTGGAGGGGGTATGGGGGTTGGGGATTGGTAAGGGACATGATGAAAGTGGTAAGTCACTGTTCGATTGATTTCACTCTTTACAGATGGAAGGTCTCTGTTGTGTTCGAAGAAGGAAAGAAAAGGAGTTGGTAACTCTATCCTATCTATCTGACAATCAATGCCAGCCTCCATGTTGTATTCCTCGGTTACATCGCGGTCAGTGTCCGAGCGCAAGGGATCAACGAGGGGATGCATTCCGGCTCGACTTTCCTGTTTGTGTTCCTTTCCCCTCACGGCTGGTTGATGATCCTGATAACGAGGAGGAACTTCCTTAGTAACCCGCGATAAGAGAGACCCTTCCAGTTCCGTCCCCTCACCTTTCCCCACCCCCACCACTAAATCACTGACAGCTCCAGTGGTAGCGAGGCGAGCAAAAAGGCAGGCGATGACTTTTTCGTAATCGTACCTGTATCGAAATTGGGAGTTACTTACCCGTGTAAGAGGGGGTTTGTAGTAGTAATGACTCATAGATGCTGTCTAGTTAACTAAGTGCGGTTAATAGTTGTATGATATATATAACTTACCAGCACCAGGAGAATCCATCATACTACCTCCTTCAAGCACGATCAATAAGGCCGAACAACTTCATCAACCCCAACATCAATCACTTGAACAAAAAAACAAGATAATCACACCAAAATGGCCACCAAAACCCCCATCACAACCGACAAAGCCCCCAAGGCCCTCCCCGGCATCTATTCCCAAGCCATCGTCTCCAACGGCGTCGTCTACTGCTCCGGCTCGGTAGCTATGGACGCAGAAACCGGCAAGATCATTGATGGCGATATCAAAGCGCACACGGTACATACATAATTATCATATATCATTTCTCACGCCAATGATTCGCTAATTGAATACGTTGGAATACAATAGCACCAATGCATCAAAAACCTCGGAAACGTTCTCGAAGCCGCCGGTAGTGATCTCACCAAGGTTCTCAAGGTTACTGTGTTCTTGTCGAATATGGATGACTTTGCCGAGATGAACTCTGTCTATGTGCAGTACTGGGGGGATGTTAAGCCTTGTCGGACGTGAGTTTATTCTTTTCTTTTTTTCCCTTGCTCTGCTACTGTGTGGGTTTTATGAATGTGGGGGAGGGTTAGGTGTTGGGATGTAAGAGTGAGTATGTATGGCTGACTGATGTTGATTGGATGGGTAGATGCGTGACGGTTAAGACTTTGCCCCTGAATACGGATATCGAGATTGAGTGTATTGCTCATCAGTAAGGGTATATATATCCGGTGATGAAAGTGCCTGGTCGGGGAAACAAAGATTACTTATGCCAGTCAATCATTGTTTTCAAATCGGCGCTTGTTGATCGAAATCCTCAGAAATTATATTGTGTATATATAGAATCTATAGAAAACGGACGCGAGGAATGCGACTCTGCAAGATATGAGCAAGCTCACTCCCCATATTAATAAGACGATCAAAGACTATAGTCTAAAGTAATCAAGGAGAAAATTACTGCTCAATAGTCTCCGAAATACTTCTGGCGAGTTCGTTCCATTGCTAGTTCGTCCGGCATAGGGGTGATAAACTTATCGATTTCATTGATCCAAAACGAGTTCTGAGGATTGACTTGACAAGCTGTAGTATATTCCCAGTAAGATGGATACCAGCCCGCAGTCTCCCAGTCAATAATCCCAACGATAGTATCCTCGCGGGCCAGAATATTGAGGCTACTGAGATCGCCATGTGTAAATGCAATAGGAAAAGATTTATCGTGTTGTCTGA